TCTTATGAAACAATTTTCTTACAGGAAGTCTTTTCCTGCACTTGAAGGGTGGAGAATAAGCAAGCTGGGGTGAGGAAATGAAAAACAAAAGAACTTTTAAATAAAAACAGAAGTACTGCAAAACAAGGAAAGCGACTGTGGGAGGCTAGTGCCTAGCAGCAAGCCCTGGCTCTGGGCTGGCATCAATGGCCTGGCCTCCCCACCCCAACCTACTGTAAGCGACCTCACACGGAGGCAGAAGGCAAAGACATCCTCCTTTAGAACCTGACCCAACTCTGCCATGACCTCAGTGCGTCTACAGTTTGCCACACTTCTGGGGGACTTAGATTTACTTTCAAACAAATGATTCTCCTTTTTGCAAGCTCTCAGGCGAGACTGAACCTTAAAACCCCATGCTTAGCTCGGCCGGTGTGGGTGAGTGGATGAGTGTCAACCTATGAACCAGGAGGTCAGGGTTTCAGGGTTCAATTCCCAGTCAGGGCACATGCTCAATCCTGGGGCAGGGGGAGGAGGGGTGTGCAGGAGGCAGCTGATCAATGATTCTCTCTCCCTGATGTTTCTAATTCTCTATCCCTCTCCCTTCCTCTCTGTAAAAAAAAAAAAACACCCACGCTTATACTAAATGCTTAACTTGGGCATGTGCTTCATAAGAAGCATCTGGGCCAAGCAGGCAACCTTTCCCACCCCATGTTAGCAGGACGGTATTTTTCAGTTTGCTATCCCTTACATTAGACTGAGCAGTAGGTGAGGCAAGTGTTCTTCCATATTGCAAGTGAGGTACTGGTCTCTAAAGAGGTTACCATGACCGAGATCTGCAAGGGCAAAAGGAAACTGACACTGAGGCCTGTTTACCAGTTGAGCATTATTCCGAACTCCTACCAAAAAGCTGTCAAAACCTGGAGGTCCCTGGGAACCTAGCCTCTTTGAGGAACTATATTCAACAAACTGCACCAAAGCCTCCACCACTACCCAGTTCAGACAAAAATGCAAGCTCTTGGCTTACTTGACAGGTGATGGCCTCCACTCGGTAAGGGTTGTACGACTTCTGACAAGTCCTGCAGAACTGCTTAAAGTAAACCTGTGATGCGAGAGAGAGAACGTAAGGCAAGCCCTCGGGACACCCCTGTCCGAAAGATGCCCGTCGTGGGGCTGCTTACCTTGTTGGTGCCCTGCACACACCACACATAGGCGCTCTCCCAGCGGATGTTGCAGTCCTTGCAGTGGTAATAGCCGTATTTCTGCTCCAAGAACTGAAAAGGACACCAGAGTTTCAACCAACAAGATATCGAATTGTTTCCCTTCATTTCAGAGGCTGAGGAGCATCTATCTCCTACTTAACATTGGCAGCTCCATTCCAGAGGTGGAGGTAAGTAGGATCAGGTTCGAATTAGGAAGGAACGAGGCGAGAGAATGGCCTAATGGAGCAGATGTGCAAACAGGGGCCTAAGACAGTTTACGTGCCAGGTCAACTGGGTTCATCAAGCAAGTTAATTGACCAGGACCGAGTCGGTGTTTTCCCTCAGACGGGCAAGGGGAGGCCAAACACCCAGGGTTCTCTACTCCTCGGGTTCCTTCCGGAGGCCTCTTCGGTTGGATCAAGTGCTTTTAGAACACAGACGTGGGGGCGGTTACAGTGGAGAACAGGAGTGAGGCTCTGAATCCCCAAGTACGTTCAGGTGTTCGCACAAGATGACGTTCTCCAGGCTGCTAGTTCAATACCCCCGAACAATAGCGTAGGAATCCAAATGGTGGGTAAGCCACAGCTCATGTGCAACATGAACAAAAGTACCACTGCCTTACTCTGAAGCTGTCTTCCCGCGCAGGGAGAAACCAATAGCAGACAAGTCTTTGGAGTCAGGCCTTTCAAAGTGAAAGAAATTTGAGGGAGCGCTCAGCGACTTCACAGGTGAGCAAACTGAAGTCCTGGAAGGTTAGGAATTAAGATGCCACTTAGTGCCCAGCCGGCGTGGCTCAGTGGTTCAGAGTCTATGAGCTAAGACAGTGGTTCTCAACCTTCCTAATGCCGCGACCCTTTAATGCAGTTCCTCATGTTGTGGTGATCCCCAACCATAAAATTATTTTCGTTGTTACTTCATAACTGTAATTTTGCTACTGTTATGAATCGTAATGTAAATATCTGATATGCAGGATGTATTTTCATTGTTACAAATTGAACATAGAGCATCGTGATAATCACAAAAACAATATGTAATTATATATGTGTTTTCCGATGGTCTTAGGCGACCCCTGTGAAAGGGTGGGTCGACCTCCAGGTTGAGAACCGCTGATCTAGGAGGTCCCGGTTTGATTCCCGGTCAGGGCACATGTCAGGGTTGCAGTCCCTAATAAGGGGTGTGCAGGAGGCAACCGATCAATGATTCTCTCTCATCATTGATGTTTCTGTCTCTCCATCTCCCTTCCTCTCTGAAATAATTTTTTTAAAAAAATTGCACAGCCTGTGTACAAATTCTAGATTCACCTCTCCGCCCCACCCCCTCGTGGCCTCTTGTACCCACCATGCCTTCCCACTCGCTGGGTTACAGCTGTCGGCAGGGGACGCCAGGCCTTTGGGGTTCAGCTAGTGGGGACTGGCCCTCCTAGCCTGCCATACCAACAGCCCAAATGCTTCCGCACTCTTATGTTTCTGAGTGGAGGGGCCTTTCAGGAGCCAGGACAGACCCTGAGAGAGGCACTACAGCGGCTCTAGCTTCCAGCGGAAGCTTTGGGAAACCCAGCAAGAATCAGGGGCGAGGCGAACAGCACCCCAGTAATCGACTGTGTGGCTTTTGCCATTAACTTGAGAAAAGTGGGTGGGATCCTTGGGCATGAACTCTCCCGCCAGCAAGCCCACCTTCTGATGCCCCCCGCCCCCACCCCGGTACCCACCTAGATGGTCCACACCGGACAACGAGCCCACGATGGCGTTTAGACAGCAAATACGCCCAGAATACGGACGTTTGAAGGGCGTCTCCCTCGCCAACCTCGGCGCCGGCGTTTTCCATCACAATCCGGCTACAATTAATTTACTCTTGGAGGCGGATGGCGCCCGCTGCTGCCAGCGGCTGCACGCCTAGGAAGGCCTGGCGCCTCCACGCGCCCCGGGGTCCCCGCGCGCCCGCCCGTCCCGCCGACTCGGGCCTCACCTGGAAGCGCAGGCGCTCCTT